CCCAGACAAGGGAACATAACATCTTTTTGCACTGCAGTCTCAGTCCACCAATGCTGTATCTCAGGTTGCGTGATGCTCAACTTTCCTTTTATCTCCTTCCTTCTCCCTTATGTCCTTGAGCCTTGTGCTTCTCAGGCATCCTTTCAGTTGGTCTTGAGCAGCTTAGACTCTAGGGAGAGATCCACTGGTGTATTGTCAGAATACCCCATGATGAACCTGCATGTTCATTACAATATTCTTATGAACTGTCTACATCATTTTGCTAAAACTCCCTGTGGAATCTTTCTGAAAAATGTTATCAGCTCCTGTATAGCAAATGAAAATAACTTTTTATCCTTTATCTTAAAAATACTCAACTTGATTGTTGTCTGATTATTGGTTGTGTTTTAGAGGAATCTTGCAGAGTTATGGAACTGCAAAACTTTATCTGAAATATCTTCCACAGTTTTTGTCTTGCTTTTGCAGGTGGCACATAAAGTCAGGTTTTGGCATCAAAGACCAGTCCCAGTGACTTCTGTACAATTAATTATACCTCAGGAGTCCAGGGTGGCTCAACTATTTACTAAATGAGAGCCTTGGTTTATGATTCTTGTGAACTTTTTGTTGTGCTCCCAGCACATCTCTGTTAAAGACTTGTAACAATCTCTGTAGATAGTGGCTCACATTGGAAACTGTGACAGATTCTTAATTATTTCAGCGTGAATAGTGCTACTGTAATTATCGTAATAGAACATAGGAATCTAAAAATAATGCAAGTAGTTCAACCAGCTAAACTGAAATATAAGCCTGTATCTTTTAAAATAGTAATAACATTTTTCTTTTTTTTGCTACCATTAACTGTTTCTTCAAGCAGATTTTATGTCCACGTTGTACAGTGAAATAACTGATTACAAAAGATGTCCTAGTTCTAGATTAAAATATACCATAATATACATAAAGCTTTATTGTTCCTTCAGGTTGTTATTTTAAGCTGAAGTTGAAATATTTTCTGAAGTTTTCAACAACTGTTTACCATTTAGAATTAAATGTGCTTTCTGCTTATACTAGTGCTGCTGAAGAAATGTACCTAGCAGACCTGTCACTTTTCTATGCAATTGTTTCTGTGACATTATTTTCATAGGTAAATGTACGACCTGATAGAAAAGGAAATCATTAGGTGCTCTCAGTATTGCTGAGGCATGGGGCTAGAACAGGTCAGTCACTTTTGCAGATTGTGACATTTTAAATTACCTGTACACTACTGGAAGCAATCTATGGACCTAATTAACATCTCACCTAATTAATGTCAGGACTGTATTTAGAGAATTTCAGATAGTTTTACACTGCCTTTATTAAATACCACGTTATTCAAATTTGCTATCTTGAATTTCAGTATTGAAAACTTCAGATTTGTGTGCTGTTTTCTTAAGTGGGTGTAACTTCTTTTTTTTGTCTCCTTCAAGTAATCAATGCACTGCTGAATGAGTTCATTTTAATGCACTCAATCATGCCTCTAATGTTTGTAGCTTACGGGCGCAAGCATCAGTAATGCAGGAATGTTATATGGCTTTAGTTTGGGCCATTTCATAAAATATTCATGGAATCAAAAATGTGCATCAAAATAGCGGCTGGGAGAATTACATTTATGTGCCTGCTTTTATGGCAGCTTCACATTTAAACCCATTTGTGTTAATATCTAGTCAATCTTTCTACTTAAAAAAAAAAAGGGGCAAAATAGTAGTCTCCATATATACCCCTTTTGGTTTGATATCTATTTTTGTATAACAAATGTATACTTTTGGAGTGGGTTTTAGGAAGGGGAATTATAAAGGAAGTTTTAGATAATGTAAAAACGTTTCTCTTCAGTATTTACAAAATTACATTGAGTTCTTTTGCTTGAATGAATAGATTTATTTTTTTACTTCTAAGCAGCTCAGTGAAAACTGTAGCACAAACCTTTGTGCATACATACGTAGTTGCTATGAAAATAAGAGTATGAAATATGAATATAAGTAAAATCTGATACTGTTAGTGGCAGAGTAATGTCTTAGATTCATATAATTGTTTAAAACCAATTCTTTACTCCCAAAATTATATTGTGACAATGTTTACATCCCATATTTAAGATTAAACTATTGCTGATAAGGTTTCTTTTGTGATACCCTGAGCTACATTAAGCTATAACATTTTAGTAGTGGTAATACATATGTTGTAAGAGTTAGATTTCTGGCTTTTGATTCCTTTTATAAACAGGGAAGAGATATCAGAGATTCTCAAACTCCATTTAGTATACACTAAGCTGATTTCTGTATGGCAGTGGAAAAAGAAATATACAATTGCTGTTAATGTTGCCAACTGAAAATAGCTATACTGCTTGGTGTAACATTTTGCAAGTAGATTTTTCAAATATAGATTTCCTGGAAACACCTTCTGAGTTTTCTCTTTGAATTCCTAGAGATAGAAAAGATACATTTCTACAAACTATTCCAAGTGATTTTTCGTACTCGTTGGTTTTCCTCTCATTTTGCTTTTTTTTCCTCTCATATTCTTTTATTTTGGTTGATAATAAAAGCAATTTAAAACTCTGTCTTCTTACTGCTCAGGTGAGGTGATAATACTCTTACTCTCAGAAATGTTCTGTAATTGGCTTTTTACTTTCTTTTAATGTTTTTCAAGATTTTCAGACAGTATCTACCTATGTCTGCGCCTAACAGTTGCAGTAGTTCAGTGTTTAGAAACTGGAATGCCCTGGCCAGATCAATTCCAACTGAAGTGACTCATGACAGTGAATAAACTTGCCACCCCCCTGAAAACATTATTTTTCCACGTCATTTGAGGTTCACATAAACATTATGGATTAAAGAAATAGGCTGGTATGTCATTTACCGATGAGAATAAGGGATTTGTTTACTTTGATGGAGGAATGAATTCCAAGGTCTAAAATGTTTTACCTTCCATGAACGTGAGAGGTCTCCAAATAGCTAGTATTACTTGAAAGAGTCTTCAGTAAGCAAATTCCCAGCCATGTAAGGGGTTTCAGGTCAGGAATTCCATCTATCCCTCATTTAGGAAACTAGCAGGTATTTTATTTTTTTTGCTCAGCATCTTTATTTTGGTGTTTCTGTGAGCAGATTGTATTTACTTCATAATCTTTCTTGGTAGTTCAGTGGAGCCAAATGTAATTTAGTTCCATTTTAATACTGCCAAAAAGATTATATTGCTTTTGTATTTTGAAGCTTGATGTAGATGGATTGTTTCTAAAGAGGCTTCACTGAGATCTGGCAAAAAGGGTGTCGGGTCACAGCTCTTATGCTTATGTAAACCCTTAAGAACTGTGGGGTACATGGAATATATGTGTTCAGTTTCTAGTCTGAGAAACTTTCTCAAATGGATACTGCAAGTGAGGAAGCACGGGTAAGAATTACCATACCTGATAGTTGTAACAATCTAAACAATAGTTCTGAAGGTTGCATGTATGATTTACCTAAATGATGTGTCTCGTTAACAGATTATGTTACAGAGGCTTAAGAGAAACTCAGATACTGTGTGCAGCTTCAGATTACATATCCGGGTGATACCATTCATTTATTTGCTGCTTCCCATTCTTACTAGAAGTTTTTGAGTTACACATTACTCAAACTCTGTTATTCTAAAGAATCCATTACGCATGTAGTGAAACTAGATCATTTAAATGTATGGCAATATCCTTTCAAAAGGACAATCAGTTGATTAATAAACTTTGGGGAGAATTTCAAGGAGGAATCTGCATGGTCTTCTAAGTATCTAAGCAGATAAAATGCTAGATCTAGCTATTAACATTAAATTTCAACTCAACTTTCCATTATTTGTCACGAAGCCAACACCAGCTTCTTCAAATAATATCTTAAATCTGCATTTAGCAACTTGGATAACTGGAATTCTGTTGACTTCTGAGTTGGACTTGCCCTAAGAAATTAGCTGGACTGGGTAGGCAGAAACCCAAATTCAGATTGGAAGTGTCTTTAGAATGGACGAGAGTTTTCATCTGGGTTTAACAAGTCTATGTCTCTATTTCCTGTTACGTGTACTGTCAGTGAATCCTTAAACAGCTTGTACTGGTCGTGATAATTTCATTTTGCATTTCTGTTTGCTCAGTCTGATGTCAAGTATGTGATGTTGTGGAAGAATGTAGAGATCTTTTCCTGTCTGTTTACAGAGTCTGATAGCTACTTTGGCAATACAATTTTTTTTCCAACATTTTGTGCCATCTCTCCGATACCTGTCCCTAGCTAGAGTGGAACTGAATAAAGGCTGCAGTCTCCCCTTTCACCTGGCGCTTCATTCTTCAGCACTTTTTGTTGTGTCCTCTGGGAGGACATCTCTGCCTTAAAGATGTTTGAATAACTTATGTTTGAAAACCTTAAAATGTATTACTTCAGGCTCAATAATTAATCTATTAGTGGTTAATACTCTTTCAGTGAATTTACTGCATAAACTCACAAGAGTTGGCCTAGTAATAACTGTTGAATTAAGTTACTTTGCATAATAATTCTTTTTGCATTGATTAATTTGAGTATGTATTTACACACACACAGTTTTGGTACTCCTTCACACTTCAAATCTTTCAGCACAGGTTTTCATTATGGAGAAAGGAACTTGAGGTGCAGTTTGAATTGTGATTATTTATGCATAGATGTGATTTTGAAATATGAGATCCACAAAGCCTATATTCATTAATCTATAATAGATGTATTTTCTAGAAAATTCTGACTTTACATCCTTGGGATCATACCCCCTCAACACTGTGAATCTACAAAGGAAAGTTAATTTAAATGTGATAAGTTTAAATTACAGTGTTACTGGTAACTGTGAGATTTGGCAGTATTTTACAGTGATCTGTACGTTTTATGTTGAAGAGTCTTGAAAAAATCTGTGAAATGATTAGCTGAAACTTACTTTCTAATGAGAAAGTTATTATAGACTAATAACTTCTTAAAATTTTGTTGATTACACTGATTGTAATTACGAATGACATTTTTCAGGTTATGTCATGAAAGCTGCTGAGCATTATGAAGCGTTTTATCAGCTAACAGAGGGTTCAACATGGAAGGATGAGAAAGGCCATACTTACAATTCACTGGCATGTGAGCATCTCTGGAGAATTTATACATTACTAGCAGACAAAATGCTAGAAAATAAAGAACACCAACAGGCTATCAAAACACTAATAAAAGCTTTAAAAATGGCAAAAGAAGGTAGGTGGAAAATAACACTTTACCATTCCTTTATTTGATGTGCATGTCATGATTTTCCCAAGAGTAAAGTAGAAATTGTCAAGTGTTTGACTGGGTGATTATTTCCTATGAAATTCAAAGACAAATGCTATCAATACACTTTCAGATCTCGCTAAAGCTGAAATGCCTTCTTGCTGACAACAAAGAATCTTTTAGATTCCTGAAAGCTTTATCTCCAAAAAAACCAGCCTTGTGGGAATAATAGTATAAAACAGTGAACCCATACTCAGAAAGTGAGGTCACTGATGGGAGCTCAGTTCACTGATTATGATTGGCTAGTCACTGTTGATTTGGCAATTTTTGACTGATATTATCCGCTGGAACTCTACCTTTTCACTCTACATAGTTATTTAGTACTTGTAAAAACCAGTTTTCTATCATAAGCAAACAAGATTTCTTCTGTGTATCTTAATACTAGTAAATACTTTGAAACATTAAGTAAAAAATTACGGAATCACAGAGTAACTGAGGTAGGAAGAGAGACCTCTGGACATCGTAAGGGTCAGCTAGAGCAGGCTGCCCAGGACTACATCCAGTCAAGTTTTTAGTATCTCCACAGGTGGAGACTCCATAACCATTCTGGAAAACATTTTGCACTGTTCAAACACCCTCACAATACAAAAGTATTTTGCTGAGTTCAGATGGAATTTCAATTTGTGCCTCTTGCCTCTTGTCCTGTCACTGAGCAGCACTGAGAAGAGCCTGGTTCCCTCTTCTTTACACCCTCCCCTCAGAAATTTGTACACATTGATGAAATCCACCCTGACCCTTCTCTTCTGTGGTCTCAACCGTCCCAGCTCCCTCAGCCTCTCCTCCTAGGACAGATGCTCCCAGTCCCTTAGTCATCTTTGCAGCCCTTCGCTGGACTCACTCCACTATGTGTCTGTCTCTCTTGTACTGGGGAGCACAGAGGGGGGTGCAGCACTCCTGGGGTGACCTCGCGGGTACTGATTAGACCGAAGAATCACCTCTCTTGACCTGCTCGCCACACTCTGCCTAACGTGGCCTGGGATCCCGTTGGTCGCCTTTGCCATGAGTGTGCATTGCTGGCTGATGGGCAACTTGTTGGGCAACCCAGGTCCTTCTCTGCCAAGCTCCTTTCCATCCAGTCAGCCAGCAGCCTGGGCTGGTGCCTGGGGTAACCTCTCCCCAGGTGCAGGACTTTGTGTTTCCCTTTTCTGAACTTCATGAGTCTGCTGTCAGCCCAGTTCTCCAGCCTGCTAAGGTCCCTCTGAATGGCAGCACAACCACCTACCTGGTGGATCAACCGTTCCTCCCCAGTTTTGTATTGTCTGCAAACATGCTGAGGATGTGCTTGGTCACACCATCCAGGTCATTAATGAAGATATTACTCAGTATTGGTGCCAGTATTGGTCCCTGAGGACACCACTAGTGACTGGCCTCCCACTGGACTCACTTTGTAAGTACAAAGGATTGTAAATATAATCCTTTGAAGGCCAGCAGCTCAGCTAGTTTTCAGTCTACCTCGCTGTCTATTTATCTAAGCCATATTTTTGTCAGCTTGCGTGTGAAGATGTTATGGGAGACAGTGTCAGAAGCCTTGCTAAAATTGAAACAAAGTTCACTGCTTTCCCTTCACCGACTAAGCCGGTTGTCTTATCATAGAAAGCTATCAGGTTGGTGAAGTGCAAATTCCCTGTCTTAAATCTATGCTGACTACTCCTGATTGCTGCCTTGTTCTAGATGATGGCTGTATGAAGCTTTGTCCACGTGTGGATGGGTTTAAAATTGGGGGAAATTAGAATAGCACTTGAATGTTATATATAATGTGAGATGTTCATCGGGTAGAAATACCATGCTCTGGTGCATTTCTTATACATGAGAGGGAAGAGAAAACAGAAGGCAAATCTTACAAGTTGACTTTAGGAAAATATACCTAATTTTCCAGATTTTTCAGAAATCTTAATAATGTTTGTTTCTCAAAGATGCCGTTAAATGTCCATTTCTACAGACTTACTTTTCCTAGATGATTATTGGAGTGCTTCTCAGAATTAAGATAGAAGGTCTCAAATAATCATCTTTTTCCATGCACTGCAATTCAGGAGCCTTTAATGATATTCCTTAAGGGGCATGTTTTGCATGTGAATTGCACATACAATTAATATATAATATTAATTCAATATTTATCACCAGATACATGAGTTTTTTAAATTTAATAATGTATGCTGAACGTTAATCTGTTAGCCAGTCTGAGTAGTAGCCGGGATAGATAGAATTAAACTATCAAAAATGGCAAAAAAAAATTGAAAATGTTTTTCAAATTTTAAAAAACGTTTTACTGCAAATAAATATATGACTATGCAGGTAGATAGTATAACACAGCAGTCTATAGAAAATTATGAAATATATCCAGTGAAGCCAATGCAAGTTCCTAAAAGGAAATATTTTTATTAGATCAGAAGATACTCTTGGAAAAAATGAACAAGCTTTCAGGCATCTAAGCCTATGTGAACTTTACCATTTATTATTTTTAAAAGTGCCAGCAAGTTATTTCTATTTCAGGAGTTTTTAATATATTGTCTTTGATTATATTAATTCTAAAGAACCAGAATTTCTCATCCTGCCTTATCTCATGAAAAATAGTATTTTAAAACATCATTTGAAATTTAATGCTTTTATGCGGTAATTTTGGGGGAATAAACCAAACAGGACTTTGGGGGCAAGAATGCAATTATTTTCATTCCAAATGTTGAATTTGTGAGGGTGTATGATTGTATTTCGGTGCTTTTCTCTTTTAATTGAACCACTAAACAACCTATTTTGGTTTTTATCTGCAATTTACATTAGTAGATCTGTTTTGTCAGTTGCCTGTTTAGATCTTGGGAGTATGTGCTCAAATACTAAGAATGCCAATACAATTAATAGCTGAAGAATGACACGTGTACCCAAAAAGTTCTCCATCTTTTCCATCTGCATCTGTTGATCAAATACAAGCTTTTAGCTTTTTCTATGGTTGTTGCCTGTAATGCATGCTTAAGTCACAACTACAGTAAAACGGCTGCTACTAATATTTACTGTGGTAACTAGAAGGAGTGCTGATGGTTTCCCGTCAGCTTCTTCCTATTGCTAGTGAATACTGCTGGAAACAAAGAGATTGTCAAAACGGATCTGATGCCTTTCCAAAACTTACTTTGACCAGGCAGATCTTCCAGTGCCCTTACTTCAAATCAATCACTTTCGTAGCTTCCTGAGACATGTAGTAAATGTCACCATGCGCAGTATACTTGCCGTTGTTCTCTTTAAATTTAAGCTTTAGAAGCTCCTTTCAGCCAAGTTCTCCAATCCCCATTCCAGAACCATAGCCTCTATCTATGAAGCCCATATTTAACAATTTAGTTAAAACAGTATGGGCTCTGACTGCCACCTGTAATATCCATTCTGTCCTTCTGGACCATCATCTATGTTTATGTATTTTATGCATTAGGATTAGGTATTACCCACTTCAGACTCTCAGACTGTTCTTAAGTGAGGAAGGAAGTTTTTTATATCCCTTGCAACTTTTCACTTTATTATTCCTCTGTGAAACTGTATTTCTGTATCCTTTTGCCTCGTTAAGCCTTTTAAGGGATATTGAATTTTGGAAAAGACCATCAGGTTCTTGAGTTACAGGCTTTTCATACTTTTATGTAATGTATTAAGTGCTATAGATAGAGCATTGCTATGGTCAGAGAATTTCAGAGCTAGATGTAGGCTTCTGTATGTTTGGACGTAAAGATTTTATTAGCCTGACAATTGTAAGTAGCTGATCTCCCTTTTCATTGCAACTATATTTATTTATGCATTTTACAAAATATCTCGATATGCAGTTATCCTTCAGGTTGATTTTTGTGCTCTTGTGTTTAAGCAGATGGATATTGAGTAACAGAAAGACTACATTTTTGGCTATTTTTCATATAATTTCATCTACTTTTTTTTTTAATGGATACTCATGTTCTGGAGGGAAATGTTTGAATATAGTGTGATACAGTAAGCATTCATATAACTGATTTATATAAATCTCAGTATTGAATGGCTGATTTTCTGTTGAGGGAGCAATATAAAAAGGCTAGCAAGCAGTGTTTGTTAGATCAATATTAGCAAAATAAGATCTGGCATGGACAAGTGTGGTGCACCTCAGTTAGCAATTGCCTGTGCAGAATTGTCTATGACTACTGCTTGCAAGTATAAGTTGTCTCTTTTTTAGCTATTCTAGCCTACGGTTGCAAAGTTGCAAAGCTGTGAAATAGCAAAGAGAATAAGAAATATGAACCTGGTCCACTGATAGTTCTCTCTTGGTGTTTCACTAAATTTCACACTAGTATGCAGAAGTGTATGGGTGAATATATTTTGTGTTTATGTATTAGGCTGTATTATATATTTGTAGCTACTTTTATATACAAATATATAGAGAGGGGTTACTATCACTTTTCTAATGTGAAAACACTGTATTATTAAACAAATCAGGACAGAGAACATTACAGCATGTTAAATTGATTGTACTGCATTACTTACTGGAAAATATCTTCTCTGACTTTCCTGAACTTTCTTTTTGAACTTTGTTTAAATCCATAACCTCTAGTTTTTAATTACCACTATATATTTCTGGGAAGAGATAAATGGCAAGGGTAAGGAGAAGGAAAAACTTACCACAATTATTTAAACATCTGTATGTTATTTAAGAACCTGCAAGAACTGTCTGTACTAAAGTAATTTTGTTCAGATTACACTGGTAACTGTCACTTCAATCCTTTCTTTAGGAGGCAATGTGAAGATGGAAGGAGAAGCTGCATATTGCTTAAGTTTAGCATATCATTTTGCTGGAGAACAACAGACAGCATTATCAGTAAGTTTATTTTAAAGTTGCTTTAGCTTTCATAATGCCTTTTTCTGCCTCCTTGGCATCTTAGGCATTTTGGAGAGTGGAAAAGACTTGGAGAGACTTGGCTTATGGACCATTTGTGACTGTATTTAGTTCTGTAGACAAGGATCTATGTGGCTTGAGCAATTATGGTTCCAATAAATTCCAGAACTGATGGAGTCCAGGTTTCCATGCTTGGGTCTGTAGAAATAATATAAATTAATTCAGGTTATATGTGGCTAGCTTTTCTTTTCCCATATTCATACGTATATAAGAGAATTTTTTAGTTAGATTTTTGTATAAAACACCACTTTTGGAAACTAGTTTGATACAGCATATTTGTAAGCAACAATTAAAAATAGATCAATTCACATATTGAGCTTTTCGGAACATCAGGAATTTAGAAGGAATGAGAATTACTCTTGGTATGAAAAGCTGTAATGCTGATACAATCCCTTCTGTTGATACTTGAGTTCAAGCTCCTCTTCTCATGTTTCCCTTGAGCCTCCCGTACTTAGTAATTGTAAGACAGTGAGAATTCTACATGTGGAATTCTAGTCTGGAAGGAGGGTTTCTGTAGTTCATCACAGGTCAGTGTGAGAGGAATGATAAGCAGCAACTTGATTTGTCTGTGCCAGTCATCAGAGGAGTCACAGTCCTCTGTGATCCTCTTAAAAATGTCATGTGGAAAATTAATTTGTTTGAATATTTTGTCCATGATTATTGTGATTAATCAGCTGGATAATTACTATTTCTATTTCTGTTTGTTCCTTTAACTGCAGAATGACTCTATTTTGTTAACGAACATGTTTTATAGAGGTCATTCTTTGTGGTTATTTGTTGTGGTGGTTTGGGTGGGTTTTTTTTCATCAACCAATAGAAGTCACAGAGTGAATTCAGCATGGGTTTCAATATTACTTGCTTGTCTTCTGCAGTGTAGGAAGGGTTCTAGATTTTTGTCTTGAAATAACCTCTTACCTGCTTTTAATGATTTGTGATATGATTTTTCCAAAAGTTATTGACCATCTTTATACGTAAGTCTTCAATGCTGACAGGCCTGTCTTCTGTACAAATGAACTGAATCCTGGAAAGTGGGAGCCTGATCTATTTGATAGGACAAGAGGAAACAGTCTCAAGTTGCACCAGGGGAGGTTCAGGTTGGATATTAGGAAGAACTTCTTCACTGTAAGAGTCGTTAGGCGTTGGAACGGGCTCCCCAGGGAGGTGGTGGACTCACCATCCCTGGAGGTGTTGAAAAAACGTTTAGATGTGGCACTTCGAGACATGGTTTAGTGGGCATGGTGGCATTGGGAAGACGGTTGGACTTGGTGATCTTTGGGGTCTCTTCCAACCATAACGATTCTATGATTTTATAAAATTATCTCTAATAGTCGCAACAGCATTGAGAAGAAGACATTTGATCTCTTCCAAGAATACAGTATGACAGAAACTACAAGTGTATCTACATTGTTTTTTGACTGACAAGTGTGCTGGCATTCTTACCTGATCAAGTTTTCCGTTAAGTTTCTGAGTCATGATAGACTATGAGAATGAAGAAGAGCAGCAAGATAAACAAATGTGCTAAATAAATGTGATAAATGTGCTAAAAGCCTGCATGCATACTTGATCTCTCCATCACAGGAGAAATTAATTAATGAACAAGACTGCACAGTCTCCATGCCATACAAAGGATCAAACTACCTTTGAAAGTGTCAAAAATATTGGATGTCCTGGCATTGTTTCCTCAGGATCTATTTTGCTTACATTTTGTAGCTACTCCTATCCCTTCATTATTCCCCTATGCCTCCTGCCAAAAAGTTACAGCAGTCATTTGGAAGTTCCATTTCTTTTTGTCATGTGCAGAATTATTATTTTCTTAAGGAAGATTCTGAAACCTTGAATTTTGTAATGTGCTACTATTAATTTAAAATACCTACATAATAGGTTGTGCATATTGTTTTCAGTCTTACAAAAACACCTGACAGGTAAGGAAAGCAGTGTGCATTTTTGTAAAAAGTCTCTGTATTACAAAACATAAATGATACACTATATTAAGAGTATAAGGTGTTATTTTAACAGTAATGGAAATACCAATACCTTTCAGTGTAATGGCATTTCTGATAATATGACATTCAGAAAATATACTGTGTGTAATAGGACTAAGAAAAAGGGGTAAAATTTTAGTTCCTTTTGTCCTTAACACAATGATCAATATAGACAGCAGTAAAATAGCGGTGGTTGGCAGTACTGTTGAGCGCAAGTTGTCTTCACTCTCCAATTAGAAATCATTGCCTAAAATTCACCCTTCTGTTCTGAGTTTAATGTATCCAAGGGGAGCTCAGATGCTTACGGAGATGAAATCATTGCATCCTGTTCCCAGAGGACTACTGGTTATCATTACACATAACATGCAGACAATACTGCTAGGAGCCAGTTTGCCTCATGGTAATATGTAGTTCATCACCAGCTTCTGTAGCATGCTAAAGAGGTCTTGCCACACAGCTTGGGACTATTCGGATGTAGGCTCAGGGGTCTCAGCAGTTATTTTCCTGCTTTGCATCAGTTTTCATCTTTTTTATCCTTTTGTGCCGTGGTCCACCTCAGGCAGTCTCCTTCTAGGGGAATCTGAAAGGAGCAGCTGTTACAGATACCGTTTCCTCCAATTGTTGCCACTTGGTTCCTTTTGCTGTTTAGCCTGCTGCTCCCTCCCCCAACGTGCACACACAGTAGCATACATATAAACTTGGTTCCCTTTCATTCATGTCTTCTAGCAGGGTGGAGAAGCATATGTTCAAAATATTCATTATCTGATGCAGTAATTAAAGGTTGAAATGATTAAGCTGCAGCCTCTTCTATCAAAAATATGCACTCACTTTCTATTGAGTGGGCTACTTTTGTTGGAGAAGGTTTTGTATTTGCTAGGCACTTCATGTTTAATCTAACATAATTTGATTTGGTGTATAATATGTATAAATTGTTTAATTTTATTTGATATACATGGTTGATTTCAGTGGACCTACTTAGATGTAAAAACATAAGTGTGTGCAAGTTTAAAAGCCTGACAACTAATTATGTTCAATAGTAGTGTGGTATGTTCGTAATATTTTACATATCATTTGGTTTAGAATCAAGTCTAATGGATTTTCCACAAAATATGACACAAAATATTAATAGTTCACATAATACAGATTTTATCTTAAGCATTATAGATATTGTCAGGGAGAGTTCTCCATCTAGGCTAATTTTAAAGTAAAAGTTACTGTTTCCTTGTTTTTCTTCAGGCTTGTATAACAAGTGAAGTATTAAGTGAAACACTTCTGTGTCATTAGAAATCTTGCATAAGGTATTGTAATCTAATGCTTGATGTGGGAAATTTTTTTAAAACTGGGCTTTCAAGCACACTTCAAAGAGTTGGGCATCATGGATTTTTTTCTCTTTCAATTAGAGTTGCATCCCAAATCATCAGGAAAATTCCAGTCCTCATCCATTGTCTGAGCGTTAGGTTTTTTCTAAGTGGTCCTTTATTTTGAATGTTGAAACCTGTGTTTCAGATGTTACATATTTAAATAATAGAGGCAGTGATCATGAGTACCGAGACTCATGCCAAAATAAATGTGATAATTTATGACATAATGCTATGTGCATGAATTGTCAGAATTGCAATATACAAGCCATAGGCATAAAATTATCAAGAAAATTTATGAACTTACAAAGACATCTTCACATGCGAAATGACCCTATTAAAGTAATCAGAGGTGATTTATGACCATAAAGTTAATTTCTGAAAAAGTCTGTCAAAACAACTGAAAATTTTGTCTCAGCTCCTGCAGCTAGAGAGAATATAAGTAAATGTATCTGGGATGCAGATATTCTGCAGTTAGTATGCATGGTATATTTTACCTATTTATATCTATTATATCTAATTATATAGATTACACCTATATGAATTAGGTGAATCGAGGAGGATCTTAGCAAGTAAAAGAACTCCAAAAGGTAGACTGAATGTTATCCTCTTTTCTCCCAAACATTGTGAAAGGTAGTTGAGAAGAATGAGCATCATTCCCTTGAGATTTGCTTACTATTCTAGTGCTTTGCTAGAAGGCGGGACTTCAAGACCCGTTTCTGTCAATGACATCTGGGTAGACCACTGAGTTTAGGTTTAAGCTTTCATTACTGTTACTACCAAAAGAAACACTGAAATGGAGACTCACAAAACACGTCAAAGGATACTATTTAATGGAAATTATTTCAAACTTCCTTCTTTAAAATCAGCAGGATTGTCCTTTATTCATCTGTAAGTGGTATTTAACCATTAGTAATGAAGTGTAACATTTTCAGCTTAGCAAATGGCATCACGTGCTTGAAAAAACATTTCAGCATGCCAGTTTAAGAAAAGATCTTGTCATTCCTAAATGCTCCACTTTTAATGAAGCAATTTTTATATTGTTCTTAAAACTGTACTCATACAGAAATTTTGTATTTTTCGTATCTGAGGAATTAAAAAAAAAAACAGACAAAACTGAGTCATCTTTGAAGGGTAGGCACTTCTGATTGATCTTGGCATTGATAATGGATTATGTACAGAGAAAGGTTTTCTTCTTGAAGATCTAGAATTACTGAGCCAATTCTGAAACTGATTAAATTTCAGTTTTCTGGGAGGTCCCAATGCTGCTAGGCATTGGTGAAGATAGTACAAACAAAATTATGTGAGAACGATTAGTACTGGTAGTGAACTTTGCCCTGACAAATTAGACTGACTCAAATACTGATGGAATTAAGAAATTAAAAATTGTGTTGAAAATCTTAAAGAAGACCTGAAGCTTCAGGAATGACATGAATGTCTGATCATTTAATTAATTTTTGGTTGTTAATTTAGCACTTAATTCTTAAAGTGAAAGAAAGATCTAACTTTTTATTTGGATGTGAAAGTTAACAGTCTCTTAGCGAAGGAAGGATTTCTTCTGTTGGTTTAATTTAGATAATAA